ATTTTATACGGAAAATTTATGGTTTTTCGGGATTGAAATTACTTACAATTGTTTCATGAAAAATGAATGCACCCAAAATGACTATAGCATTTTGACTTTCACATACGTGCACTCAATAAATTGATTGGTAAATTCAAAGAGTGGGTACATCGACCTGGTATATCAAGTTTCTGCGATTTTTTACGGCAAATCGGTAGATTTCCGGGATGTGGATTGCTTACTTTCAATTCATGAATGAATAAAGCACGGACATGGTTGAGCTTTTTTGCATGAAAAGACGTTTAAAATAACAAAATCAAGACATATTTAATACAATTGCATTTATATCGAGTCAATTTCTTTTCAATAATATAACGGGATTTAAAATACCGGTGATTTGGGTATTTTAGCCCCAAAATACCTTTAAATCGACTTTATCTTCTAGGAGTTCGACAGAATTTTTCCTTTCTTCGCTTAAATTTCGTAGCACTTTTCTTCAAGAATCTGATAAGATTTTGCTTGAGGCAGATCAAAAAACTTAAATTTGTTCGAATAGCTCTCTAGATTCACAATACACGGTCTCGTCAAGGTGCGTCGTTGACCTTGCAGTGTTGGATCGTGAATTCTCTTGTTGTGCTGCTTGCCTTTTTTGAAATCTCTGTAAATGAAAACTAAAGGGGTTGATATGTGCGAGTTAATGACGCGCCTTATCAACACATTGTGTTGGAGTTCACTGCTTGTTTTAAGAATGACTGCCTTCTACAACACGACACGACTGAGACTGCTTGAAGACTGAATATAATTCAAATCCATACCAAAGAAGATAGAATTTTTAAGCCATAATTTTTCCATAAGAAGCCATAATTTTTCCTCTCTTTTAGCAGAATATTCTGTACAAATTTCAACGAACACTTGACTTGTTTCTCTTTCAAAAAATATATTAAGAGCGGACATTTTGAAACACATTAATGGAGATACATGGTTTTGCAATTTTGCCATCGATTTAATAAAAAGGAATCAATGTTAAATCAACTAACCCAGTACCAACGGTGTAATATGCAAACACGTATATCGGTTTGAGACGTTGCAGACTTCTTGTCATACTTTATTTTTTAAACAGAATCATTCTCAACAGCAATTTTTAAACACTACCATGTTTTTTCCTCTCTATGCGATGAAAATTCTGCGAAGACTTTAAGGAATGATGTTAATTGCTAACCTTTGAAAAACTTGAATGGAGTAATTCGAACACAGTCAACGATAAACGTGATTGCAGACTTACGCCGACGTCCCTTTTTTTCGGTGAAAGAATAACCGTTGCCCGCCGCTTTAGTGGTATACAGGGTGTCCCAAAAGTCCGTACCCCCCCCCCCCCCCCCCCCCCCCCCCCCCCCCCCCCCCCCCCCCCCCCCCCCCCCCCCCCCCCCCCCCCCCCCCCCCCCCCCCCCCCCCCCCCCCCCCC